CCAACTGAAGTCTTTAACTGTTCTCTAAACTAGAACCATGGGCTAAACTAAAAAAAGAAATAAAATAAGACATACAAAGAAAGCAAGTCCAGCAAACAGCCACAAAACGCTTAAGGGATTGGAACATCTCATATGATGAGAGGCTAGAAAAGCTGGGACTGTTTACCCTGGAGGAGCGGGGCAGGGAGGAGGGGGTCTTATCAATATTTATAAATATCTGATAGGAAGATATAAAGACAATGGAGCCTGACGCCTCTCAGCCGTGCCCCATGACAGGACAAGAGGCAACGGACACAAACTGAAACACAGGAAACACCACTTGACTGCAAGAAAATACTTTTTCAAGCGGGTTGCCCAGAGAGGTCGTGGAGTCTTCCTCCTTGGACCCCGTCAAAAAGCCCTCTGGACAGAGTCCTGGGCAACCTGCTCTAGCTGACCCTGCCTGAGCAGGGAGAGGTTGGACCAGGTGATCTCCAGAGGTGCCTTCCAAACCCAACTACTTTATGATTCTGTGGGGGGGGAGGGGGGGAGCTTTAGATATATGTTTGCAACCTGTATCATTTCACTATTTCAGTTTAGAGAGCAGTCAAACAAACAGGCCAGTTAACAGGGTCACCTACCAGCAGACCGGTAAATGAGCACAGCAAGGACAGGGATAGTAGCTTTCTACCAGATCTGCCACTGAGGCAGCCAGTCACTTCATGCTGCACATAGGAACCAAACTCATGGGAATTTTTCCAAAAGTAATGCTGCTCCTCAAAATAGATTAGCCATCACTGAAGGGGCAGGATTTACCGTTCTTCCATCAACTGTAATTCATGGATCTTCGGCAAGCTCTGCACAACACAGTATCACCGCATTAAGATTCACAGTTTCAGAGCCCTAATAATCCAGTGCTTTGAGTTAAAGCAGACATGTCATTCACACCTCACTGCTGTCTTGCAGATCTGTTCTCCAGGCAATAGAACACACTTGAGTGACCCAGGTGCAACATATCAGCACTTACTTTGCACAGACAGCGCTTTGCACAACTAAGGTTTAGTAAATAGATCAAAGGCGTTGGTGAGGAAGAAAGAATCAGCACGTTTGGAAAGAGTCATTCTCTGCCTCTCCCACCACGATGTCATCTCAATCCCTTCAATGCACTGGAGGGAACCTCAATGAAGCAAGTAGTCTTTCCCAGTTCACACTGCTCCGTGCAACTCGCTCCATGGCAGACCCCACGATTCCTACAGCTGTCGCAGGAATATGTTCCAATGTCATCTGTGTCAGTTTAGATCAACCTGGGACAGCAGCAGTAGCCACTGCTTGACGCTCGTTGCTCTTAGGGGACTGACAGTTTCATTTCCTCAGGGTATCTGCTTTCCAAAAGACTAGATAACAGCTGATTTTAGTAGCAGTGAAAAGCTTTAAGAGATTTCAGAAAGCCCCTGTGATTCTTCTAGAACACGCTCTTCCACATTTCCAAGTGTCCAATTGGCTTCCCCGTGGTCCCAAGGGATGCAGGCTAGGAACACAGCTCATGGAAACGGCCTGCAAAAGTTCACTTTGGTTTTCCTCATCATGCAACAGCAGGTAACACAGGGAAGCCAACTTGTGGCATAACCACCAGGAAGAACGACATTTGGAGAGACAGTTTCTTTAGGTAAACACGTTCATCCTCCTGCTCAAGGATGTAGCCCAGATCTTCAAGGGAGAACTTCTGAAAAATAAGTATTTGGATAACATTTCCTGTGCTCATATCATCAAACATATGATGAAAAGCATATTGAAGATAGATTCAGTGGTCACTTTCGTATAAGCGTTGATGTAGCCCAATGCTGCCTCAGAGCTGCTCCGAGATTTACATTGCGCAGTGGAACAGCTAGGCAGGCTCTACAACATTCAAAGCAACAACTCCTCTGCAGATTTTTGGCTTTCATTAGAAGAATTGATTCTGATAACAATAACCAGATGTTCTATTTATGTAATGAAGTCTTAAAACATTTCCATGCATTTTTTCACAACAGTACAGATCCTGTCCTAAGCGCACATTTAGCTGTTCCACAGCAAGTCTGTACTTATATTCACATGTGCAACCAAATACTGCTATACACAAGCGCTCCAAACTACTGAGCTTTTATGCTTGCATACAAAAGCTCAGAGAGCAGCAAAGGATGTGCATGGCAGGTATGATAAAGAAGAAAATCCACCCCAAGTAATAATAAAGAAATAAAGTGGTAAAGATCCAACAAAGTGGGAAGCTTAATGGAGGCAGGAGAAGTTGAGGTCCTATTCATGATTCTGTCACTTCTCTCCTCACAACCTCCTTCCACCTTCTCTCAAAAGTATCCAGGAGAAAGGCAGCAGAAGCAAGTGTAGGATTTGGTTTCTTGGCTTAAGATTTTAGAGGAGAACAGCTTGCAACAGGGTTAACTGCTGTACCTATGGAACAGACACTCTTACTGTCCACATGCCGTGCTGCAAAATTTGCTACAGCCACTGCTTACAGGCTTTAATTTAATCCCAGCTAGAATAGCAAGAAACACCCTCCTTGCCAGATGCCCGGCCTCTCCATTTTTGCCGTTTCCACCAGTGTATCCACAGGCATTAACAACTGAATAGGCAAGGCAGAGAATTCTCCCCAATGCGCTCCTACTGTCAGCAGGGGAACAGCAACCTAAATCAGCAGCTTCTCGTGAACAGTTTGCTCATTCACTTGCTGAATATTGATTACACAAGGGGGCAAAAGTCAGCACTAGCCATTTGGCTTGGATCATGTCATCTACATATTTTGCACTATTTTGTCCACCTAACTATTTAGAGATCTCCGACACACAGGTCTTCCCCCTCTCCCCCCCCACCTTTCTCTTAAGTCTCTAGGGCTGACAAACTACTTTGGATGTTGTAAATGCGTGACAACGCTAGGGACTTTTTTTACATTTTGTGCCGAAATCGAAAGTTGCTTGCTCTCTGAACAGCAAGTCCAACTACTGAGTCTAGCTGTTGAAAAAGCTTTAACTTACATAACACCAGCCTACAAGCCCAACAGTTCCAGCGGCACACAACTCTCCAGAGGTCAAGATTAAATCAAGTGCAGCTGCTTTTATAAGAATTTGAATCAGTCACTTGCAGGAATTCTAAAAATGCTGCTTTTATTTTCAACTTTGGTTTCAGTTTGACCATATTCACTGGCAACCAGTCAAAAGGTGCAGTGGCAGAACGTACTCTCAACACAGAAAAGTTTGCATGTGAAGAGCTCAAAGATTCGTGGTCTTTTTCATCACTAGGCTTCAGCTGTCTTTTTAGTCAAGTACAAGTCAAAACAGGTACTCATCAAAAAGCAGTTGGTGGTGGTATTTAATATTCAGAGCAATGACAGAATCATCCATTTTCTTTCCACTAGCCAAAACCACTTGATTAACCACCGTGACCATCTGGCCTAGAAATAGAGCTGACATAGGGGACCACCATGTGATTCATTTACATAACTTAACATACAGAATCTGAACCCCCGCTTGCCCCAAAAGTTTTTTATTGAGAAAAATCATAATCTCCTCTCCTTCACAAGGGATGTTCTGCCTTAAAAATCTATCAAGAAGGACAATCTTGACTTTATAAGGCATCATGAAGATGACTGTACTGCTGCTTCCCCAAAATACAACAGGAAAGTTTGGGAATACAGAAAAAATTGACTGCTCAGACTTCTAGCCCATCTTTTAAAGACCAGGACCTTTCAACCCCTGAATCCTATACAGGGGCACTTCCAGTGCAGAGAGCCCCTAGAAGTCTCAAATTCCAATAACAGCTTTCATTTAAACAGGGATGTGCATATGAAGTGCCCCAAAAGACTTACAGAAGCAGTCAGAACTTCACTGGGCCACACACAAACACACACCTAGAGCTGTGACTGCACCTGCTCAGAGCAAGGCTCAAAGCTCTGTGGTTCACCACCTTCTCACACTGCACAGCTATAATGATCAGTACTCGCTGAGACAGCCTCTATAAAGGAGCAACTGCCTCTCTTGGCAGCACTCAAAAGGGCTGTCTCATGCCTCCAGCAGCAGCCCAGCATCACAGGCTGGTGGCTTTATGATCTAGGGACCTGGCCACTGTTAGGAGAACCTGCTTCTAGACTGCTTGAGATGTACTTGGCTCAGTCTTCACTCTGTTAAGAGACTCCTCCCTTCACTCCCAGTCCTTGCACTAGGGGCACAGTTTTATTACATACTAGTTATTTCAAAAATTTACATTTTTATTTAAAAAGCAAACCTTCCATGAGATTTTCAAAGTGTACCCTCAGTACAGCTTACTCTCAAAAGGTGCTTAGGCTTTTGAAAGACACAAGCCTACAAGGAGGTAGTAAGCATGCGTTACATCCATATTACTCCCAAATAGGTCAAGGAATTAGCTCTGCCAGACTCGAAAAACCAAAAGCAGCAGCAAACAAAACAAGCTTCATTCACCTAGCACATCCCCTTGTGCTGCTCGCCTTTCCAGGAGGTGATTTGCTACACTGCTATTGCTAACTACCTCTCTCCTTGCTTTAGGAGCAGGGCTGAATAAAGCAGTGCAATATAAAAAGCTCTGGCAGGGAATCATGGAGAAGCACAGATTGTATCTCATCCCTCCACCACTCCCTTCACAATGCCTACAGGCTAAAAGAAAAGCAAAAAGATCAGAACAGCTATTAAAACCTGCAGCAGCAGGCAGGAAAAAATGAAATATGAAAGAAATGAAAAAAGAAACGAACTATCAAATTGTAAAGGTACAAGCAACCTACTTATCTTCTTGAGCCTCTCCCTGCACATGGGAGAAGGAACACCCACCCCCGGCAAGCCACAGCCTCAGAGCCATTCAAACCACACAGCTTGCCGCACACCACCCAGGCATCAGTGATGCAATCAAGAGATTTACACCACACACTACATGCTAGGCTCTTCAAGCTGTTCAGAACCAACAGAACATGCCTCACATTACAACAGATTCAGCTTTAAGTTATCTGCACCATAGATCAGCGGCTCCTAGATGGCGGTTTGCAAGGCCACAGTGCAGAGAGATAAACAAAACGGGAACCGCACGGCAATTTCAAAGCAAAGAACCCAGCCGGCCCACTGCACTTCTCAGTATTCTCAAAACTCAGCCTTACTCCTTCTCCCTTTGAATTGGAGATTCAGCAAGTTCAACTAGTGAGCTACTTTCTGCCGAGTTTGTTTTTACTGCTCAGTGCGAGGCTGAGCGTTACCATTCCCAAAACCATTCCCCTTGCCACATCAAAATTAACATTGCAACAGTTGCTCCTATTCCTTTTAATGCAGCAATAATGAAGAAAGAAAAAAACTCTCTCACCTTTAACATCTTCCACCTACAAAAGAACAATGCTTCTGACAGGCAGTAGTTGCCATACAATAGCTGTTCTCTACTGTACCAGGGCATGTGTTTCCTCGGAAACAAGCAAAAAAAAGGACAAAAAGTATCTAGCATGTTAAATTTGCAAATAAACTAGGCCACATCAGTCATATTTCACTTACTGGAACAAAGAAACCACAACTTATATTTTGGAGTACATTATTAGTTTTTCAGTAACTGCTCAAAACTAAATCTTTACTTTTGCACAGGCACCTCTGAAGCACACTGTTTTTTAAGAATAAATGCAAAATTAGCAGAGCAGGACTTCAGTTATAGCATGAAAATACATGGCTTTTTTAATGTCAAAAGATATTCTTAATGCAACAGTATTCTAGCTAGCTGGATATTTGCGTACTCCTCCAACCTTACCAAATTCTAGCAAAGCATTACCAACAGCAAGTCACACCAAGCCAAAGTCTATCATTCTAGTCCAAAACCTTACCAAATAATCAGCAAGTTTCCACTGTGCTTGTCTAGTCCATAAACAATCCGTGGTCTTAGAGAAACTGGCTTCTGAACACACAGACTAGGCCAAGCCTCACGGCTGTAGGAAGTAGAGGAAACAGAAGAGAGCAAACTAGCCTTTGAACAATACTTTTCGATGACCAGAAGGTAATACATGAGCAGTTGTTTCCCAAGCTTCCATTAACAAAAATGGAAGCAGTCCAAGCAAGGGTGAGCAGGTCAGTCTCAATAAAGACGACAATTATATACCCTATTCTTCCCTAAAAATCTCCCATAATCCCATTGGCTTCATAGGAAATCTTACTTTGGAGGGGGGAAAAAAATTCGCACAAGCACAAGAAAATATTAATAATTTGCTCTTCATTATTACACATATAATGACATTAGAACAATATGCTAAGCCAGGAGAAGTGCAAGAATTTAAATGTTCACATACAGTATCCGCACTAGGTTAATACAGCCAGCCCAAACCAGATGTCACTAAAAAAAAATCAAAATCTCACAGTCAGCCTGTTTGAAAGCATGGCAATCACTTCGCACAATATTAACAGAACAAAGCATCCTATGTTGTGAAAGGACCATGCAAGCAAGCTTAAACTGTCAGCTGAATCATACCAGTATCATTTTACAGAATAATGAATTCTACGCTGCAGCTATGCTCTCTCTCTCTGACATTGAGCTACTGCTGAGAGTCTCTCCAGCTCATATTAGATACAGAGTTGTGACAAAGTTGCACTGGTCACAACATACGGTAGAAAGAATACTGCCTGAGTAAAGGCTAGTTGCATCACTTCTGCTGTCTTTGTAAAGCTCACTGTGACAGCAGGCAATTA